CGCTCCAACAGCTCCGTGTCCTGCTTATGTCCAATAACCTTGCTGAACTCCATAAGGTTGGCACAGGCCCACCCCTCCAGCCTGTCCAGGTCCCTCAGGATGGCATCCCTTCCCTCCAGGGTGCCACTGCACCACACAGCTTGGTGTCATTGGCAAGTTGCTGAGGGTGCCCTTGATCCCACCGGCCATGTCACTGAATGATCTTGCGAATTCGGCCTACTGGGCTTAGAAATGTCACGTGTCAAAGTCCTCTCAATGAAATAACATTCTCCAACTGTAGGAAGGTGGAATGCCATGCAATTCAACGAGCTTTGTTAACTAAGCATGGATTGTAACCACTCTCCTGGGGTTAAAATAGGCTGTTGATATTTTAACAGCTCAAGATGTGCAAAAAATGAGACAGAAGGTTGAAAACACGGTGCAGGCTGGCCAGAGGATTCCCACACCGCAGTGGTACTCTCCTCCTCTGCGCCCAGCAGCAGCCTGACATGTACTCTATCACATCTGCCAGCCAATACATTCCTAACCTAATTTCTGTCTTGTTCCTTGCGATGCTAGAGCACCATTTCTAGTGCAGCCGTAGAGGCCGAGCCTGTTTGGGCGTTGAGCCACTCTCCCAGTCCCTTGCCCATTCCAGTGAAAGACAAGAGTACAGCTGGAACTGACAGAACCGCATAATGGGTTAGAGCTGCCAAGCCACAAGGCCACAGTTACTCCATGCAACCTCCCACAGACCTATAACAGGAGCTTTTTTAGACCAAGGGTAGCACAAACACGTGTGTCTCCCTGAACAGCTGAGTTCGGGTACAACTCTGCTAACATCAGTTTTGAATTAACACTAACTCGTGGCAGAGGGACAAGAACTAGCAGTGTCACACAACTGGTTAAGAAAGCTGGGAAAGGTTTCCATCGCCATTTACCTCTTGCTCGTCTCATCTCTCCCATCCCAAGTGCTCCTTCACTACTGGAATGTGGCAGTTCCTTGTGGATAGGTAGAGGTTCACAGTCCTGACTTCCATGCTGCTTCAGCACTGCCTCCAGGACAGCCATTTCTTGCTGAAGTTTTCTGAGGTTATTTTGCATGGCGTTCTTCTGCTGCAAGGGACACAGATTGTGCCAGCATTAGCCGACCTTGGACAGCAAGGTAATTGCGTTAAACGCCTGAAGACAGAGTTATCTTGCATTATATCATGGTATATAACTATATAATTCTATCATTACAGTTGAATTATATCAGGTATCATGGAAGGCACAAAGTTGGACGAGTATCAGCAGAGAACAGTTCTACAATTCATTCATTGTGGTCTTGGGAGTGATCCTGCAACACAAGGTTACAGGCACTCCGCAGCTTTCAGCTACTCACTTGTACCCTAGAACACAAACTACTTTCAGAATTCGGCACAAAAGCTCCCTCACCTGTGTAGACAGGATTTCCCCCTGCGAGAGCGGTCCGCATGAATCTTCCACATAACTCGTTTCGCTGTCGTATCCAGCCACTTCACCTTGACGGTGGAAGAAAATCAGTTAGAGCAAAGGCCACCCGACAAACCGTTACGCGCCATCTCCCACCACACAGACCTTTTAGCTGACTGTCAACCACAGCGGGAAAGCGGCAAGTTCGGAAAACGCCTCAGTTAAAAGCACAGACCCACCTTCTGTGAAGATTTCGAAGGACACGTGGCACGCCATGGCAAAGTAAACAGAACCCCGTGTTTCAACAGTGGTGACAGAGTCCGAAATATGTATGAAAGCCATAAAATAAGCACTACAGGATTCTACCGCCGACTTCAGCGTTTCACCTGGTGAAACCATTCAGGAACCTGCGACACTTTGCTGACACAGGCAACAGAGCTCACGTTCTGCTCAAAAACAAATCCCCATCAGTCTGCCCAGCCCATTCGTTTTTGCTCTCAAGGAACACTGGGAGAACTGAATTTTCACTGCGGGTTGTTTACGGGCAATCAATTCCTTTAGAAGGGAAGTGCCAGACAGAACAAAGTTCCCCCCCAACCACCAAAAATCTGGGTGCAACAACACCACAAAGAGCTGCAGAAATAGAACTCTTGGTTTGTACCTAGGTTTGCTCCCGTGTTTGGGTCTTCTTGGCAGTCATCTCTGACAGCGGGTCTGCTCCTCTTCAGCCCTCCGTTACCACTCCAAAGAGCTTCTTTACCCTCACTCACATTGCTCACTTGGGGGGACGTAGGAACTTGGATTAAAGGCTTCTTCAGCTCTTGTGCTCCATCAGCTGGTTCTTCAGAGGTGTTGGACTGGGACGAAAATAAGTTGACAGAGCATTCCGACTCCTGGCTCGGCGAAACACACCCACTGCTTAGGGCAGGCTCAGGCCCTTTCTGCCGAACGCTGTCGTCATGACGTCCATCGCGAGGCAACGTGCTGGAGCGCAGTGAAGGCTCTACGGCTGCTGTCCCTTGTTTGCTGACCTGCAAAGGTGTGCTTGCGGAGTCCCCAAACAACAGTGTCTGGAAACACGGGAAATCATCCTCGCTAGATTCCTCATCCGAAGATGGCAGTCTCTGCACTCTTCTTCGAGGTCTGGGCTTGGGGCTCACATTTCCACCGTGCAGCTCTTTCACCAGGGCACCATCACTTCTTTTAACAAACACAGCGGATCTCTCCCTCTGATCAGTTTCAGAAAAGCTGGTGTTCTCCTCGGTATCGCCATCAGAGCACAGCAAGCCATCAGGCGTTTCGGACAAACCCGTAAAATCACTCTTCCCTTTACAAGGTTCTTCTAGAGCCTCTGCAGCTAAACACTCGGGCGCCCCTGGGCCAGTTTGGGCTGCTTGGGCTTTGTTCCTTGTCACTGGTTTCCTTTCGCTTTCTCTGCCAACACCTTGGCCGCTGACCTCCACAGGACAAATCGTTGAGCCAGGCGGAAGATGCAGGGTTGGTCCTTTGCTGTCCACGACTCTGGCCTTTCCTGCTTCGTTGCTTTCTGAGCTGAAATGCCCTTCATCGACTGTGTTTAGATCAGTGCTTTGAAAAACCTGCCCCTCTGTTTTACTCCGATCACTCTGGCTTCTGCTACTTTCGACTGGATTCTGCCTCCACTCGCTGTCCATCCCCACGTCAGCTGACACTGTCTTTGCGTTTCCCTGCCCTCCTTTGCACGGTTGGTTTTTGTCCTCAGGCCCCGCAGTATCCATCCTTCCTGGTGCCAGATTCCCTCCACTTGCAACCTGGGAAACAGCTTCTCCATACTGCCCTGCGCGCACACATCCCCTGCTGCCAGCAGAGCCAGTCGCAGCACTAACGTGACCACATTCACCGCCCTGCAGCTTCTCCTCCTCACAAACCCCACTCAAGCTTTGGGCAGGCGGCTCCTCTTCTTGAAAGTTTTCTGGTTTGGAATGTTTGCTGTGATTATTTTCTACCGGATCAGCACGTATCTTTGGCGTTCCAGAAGCAGCATCTTCGATGGCACACGCCTTCATGGGAGCAGGGTAAAGACTAAATGATGCGCGTTTCGAGTGCCTAAATATGTTTCGCAGGTGCTGTGTGTCTAACTCGCTATCTTCAGCCTCCTTGCTGGGCCCCGAAGCTGCTGGCAGCTTTTCAGATGTGAAGTCCCCTGGAACATTGTGTGTGTCATCTGCGTTATCCTGGGGAAAAGCAGCACGTGATGCCGTCATCTCTGCGCTCGGGTGGGAGACGGTTCGCACAACAGGCACTGAAGGAGACTGTAGGGGGGAAGGGCTAGCCCATACTTCACCTTCTGGAGACGCCGCATCAGGTGTGAAGGCACCACTGCCTGAACGCTGACACGGAGGACTGAAGAGACCTTCTCCCGTTTTTGCAGTCCGAGATGAATTCTTTAGACTCATCTGTCTCTCATTTGCTTCCAGATCAACCTCCTTCAGATCAGGGAGTGGCTTGGAATGCCACAAACCCTGGGGCTCACTCAGGCCTTGGCATTCAGAAGTGTGAACTAACGCACTCCTCTGAACTCCAGAGGAAGAGCCTTCCTGATCCCTGGCATTTCTTTCTCCCTTAATTACACCTTTTCCTGTTCCTTTTGTCGTTTCTTCCGCAAGTAGCTGAAGCCTCCTGCTGCGCCTGACTTGCCTTTGCTCAGAATCCACTTTCCTTGGCTCTTCACTGCTCGGATAGCTGTCGATGCGCGACTCGGCTGGATCAGGGGACACATAGTTTCTGTCCACTACCAATTGCAGAGCACACATGGCTCTGGTAGACCGCCTACATTTTTTAGCTGCAGAAATTTTTTTAGTGCTTGTCTCATCACAGTTGTTTGGATCCAGCTCCCCAGCACAGTGCTTGCCTGCCACCTTTTCAGTAGCTTTTTTCCATATGGATCCTCCTCCTTCCTCAAGTTCTCCTAGTGTGTGATCCTCTCTATTCTCAGAGAGGCAACTCTCATGAACAGCAGAGCCTTCACCACCTCCAGGGCAGCAGTCAGCACTTGGAGGGCACCCACCTGCCTCTTCTGCACCTTTTGTCTTGATGAAATCCTCAGGCTGCAGGACCCTGGCAGTCTTCCTTTTGCGTTTCAGTCTGTCTTTGCTGGAACTACTCAAACACGTAGCAGCAGCCACACCTTCCTTCTTTGTGGTAGGTAAAGTCTCCCTCAAGATAACAGGGGGATTTGACTTCCTCTCTCTCTTGTACGTTTTCCCAAATATTTTGTCTTTGAGGCTATCTGCTGTTTGTTTTGACCATCTCTCATTTCCTTCAGCCACTGCAATTACCATGGAATATACCATAGGGTCAGTCTTTTCGGAGATACAGGAATCTTTATCTGATAAGCATGTCTCTCCTTCACCTGAAACATCAGTTGCTCCAGCAGAATCATCCTGGGAAGAATTAGAAGGCAGAATCTCATTGCTTTTTGAAAGCCACTCATTGACTTTCTGAATGCTTCGCTTCAGTCTCTTCCTAGAGACTTGATCCTGCGTAGCACAGTGGAGCGACTCTGGCTGAAGTAGTTTCTCCAGAGGAACTTCTTTTTCACGGAAAGAATCATTCTCAGGTTCACACATTTCCACAGCTTCCACACTTTGCACAACATGTGTTTCCTTGCTTTTACCCGACCTGGTCTCTGAGCTATCGTTCAAGTCTACTGCACTGAGTTTGCTCGGCACCTCCTTCTTCTGTATTCTTAAGGAAAGACGTGTCCCCCTTCCTTAAGGCACTGGCATCACCTATTTGGTCACACTGCTCGGTGAGTAGGTCCACAGCAAGATCATTTAAAGGAGAACTCTGGTACTCAGTCATATGCACTCGGCCAGGTTCGGCATGTTCAGTGCTGCTCCAGGCGCTTTTCTCGCTCAAGCCTTCCTTCAAGACACCACTTTCACCTGAAGATTTACAGGCATCATAAATTATTAAGCCCTATTTTACAGACACAAGAACAATGACAAGCTTAATGGCTACATTGTTTTAAAAGAACTGTTCTTATTAATTCCCCGCAACAGAATGTTACTGCACAAGTGCCTCCTCTAGAGAAAGAGGAGATGACATGGCATATGTTCATCCAACATCTTCTATGAATTCCCAGACTCTGCTCAACTCGTAGTACAGGGCTTAAGCAGACTAGAATATGTTTTGCACTTTGACCAAGCTACTTCTTTCCCTCCTGTTCTGTGCACAGAATATCCACAGCGTAAGTACCTAGTCTGCAGGTACCGTCTTGTGTTACCCTGCCATGAGCTGCAGGCCTCTACAGAACTACAACACGCAAGACCGTAAGCGTGTATATATTTAATCACCTGAGGTCAGGATGTTGTTTTGGTCTTTCTTTCAAGCTGAATTATTTTTGTCACCAGAATAACGAACACACCTACAACATTTGGTAGAATTGTTTCTTCAGCACCCAGCTTGTCAGGCTGTGCGTTGCAGGAACATTCGTCCCCATTCTCAGCACTCTTAAGCTCTTTGGACTTTTCTCGAGGTGACACCTGAAGTGCTTCTTTGTCTTCTAACCTGTTGGGAAGGGAAAGCATAGTACACGCTTTTCTCTTGAAGATCTAATGTCTGTGTAAGCAACAAAGAGGTTAGAAAACAGTTTTAAAGCATACTACATGACAGCCTGGTGGGACTCAGCCTCCCATTCTACCCTGATGCCCTCGAAGTTGACCATCACTTGCCAGCTTAAAGAATTCTATCAGTCCCATCCTAAGAAACTGAACCACAGGAATGAGCATACTGAACTGCTGTCATTGGAAGTTATGAATCCCTTACGCCCTTTTACTTACCCAGTAGTGCTTGCCTGCTTAAAATGCTCTTCAGATGAATCAGAGCCTAAAAACAAAAGCAGCTGTTACTCTGGTTGAAATGATTCCGAGCAAGATGTCTTGCCAGATTCAGTGGTTATCATCACAGAACATGCTTAGTTCTTTCTAGAGGTAGATGTTTTCAACATTTCTCAGATGAAATCAAGTTCAACTGTGCAATATTTCACCCAATTATAATGATTTCTATGTATTAATATCTACATGGCTCCAGCATAAAACTCTGTTTAAATACAGTGACTGGTAACACAGAGTTGCTGAGAGTTAATCAGTTAAGAGTGGGTATCTGATTTCTGAATGTACATGTGAACCAGCTGCTGGTACTTAGAATTCTGAACTGCAAGTCAGAGCAATATATTCACATATCTGTCTCAGATCCTTCGATCGGTCTTGGCAAAAACAATCAGGAAAGAGGCAGTGAATGTTATTCCTTAAAAGGAACAATTCTGTCCATGAAGGAACAGGGAGATGATAAACTACACACAGCATCTGTCTTGTTTCTTGCAGCAGTCTGCACCAGATAAAAAGGAAGTTCTGAAAAGCCTGAATAGACAGAAATAAATATTTTTTCTCAGTAAGATTTCATTCTTATCTCCGGTTAACTAGAGCCACGAGCACTGGTGACAAGGCTTAATATTCCTCAGAAACCAGTAGTTCTCATTCTTTCATGCAACTGTAACCTTTCCCACATCTGCGAGCATCTCCTCTCACTTGGATCTTGTGCACTGAGCCTTAAAGGTTACTGCAGTAGCGCCACTTCCTACAGCGTTATGCAGAAAACCTCTGATCTACCAACTTTGAGTTGTCCATCACTTGTCCCTTTGCTGTCATCCTGGGTGTTTGCAGAGAACTGGGTGTTTATAAAGCCTCAGAACTTCATCGCTTTTCGTTACTCTGCAAGCATTACACATCAGCTCAACTGGTGTGGAGCTACAACAGATCTTACCGAACTCTATATAGATCCCTTGCTCAGGGCCGCACTTCCGAGTGTTATTTCTTAGGGGACGCCTTCTGACCCTGGTATCTCTAAGTGGCATATCCACATCAGCTTCCTGCGGACAGCAGCACAGGAAGGAACGGTTACTTATAACAGGAGGTTATTTAAAAGAAAAAGCAGCAGTTATTTCAACTACAGCAGGGGCTGATGAATAGGAACAAAGTATTTAAATGGGCAGGCTCTATGCAAAAATGCAACACATGTAAATTATCATACTGCGAGCAGAAATGGAACGTGTCAATAGAAACAATTCGCATGCATTCAACAGCTCAAATCATTAACAGTTTTATCTTACATCCTGCCCAGCATCGAGCAGATGAGACGAGAAAAAACGTGCTGCAAGCAAGCCCATACGCAGAGCAACCGCCCTAGGCTGGCTCACGTCCTAAGAATTCTGAAGGCATATCCATGGCCTCACCACTAAACCAGTAAAAAGCCTGCCAACAGCTTGACACCTCATGAAACAAGGGGTGCGAAAAAGCTTTCAACCCTCGTTTCAGTAACAGATTATGGCAAATTATCTTTAAGTTCAGGTCACTTTATGCACAAAAGGTTTTAAAGGCAAGTTAGGAAGACAAAAGTATTTAGATGTCCTTGTCCGGAATGGCAGACACATCCCATCCAGCCCTAAACGATCCACAGAAGTAAAGTGGGAAAATAAGATACCACCGTGCAGTTTTCTTGTCCATTTTCTTTTGCACTTTTTGTCCTGTTTCTGAAGCCTTTACTTTGGATGACAGAACCTTCTTTACACAGGAACTCGGCAGCAGTGGCTTCTGCGGGTGGTTTAGGAAATTGGTGACTGTTTAAAACTGAAAAACATCAAGAGGGAAAAAAGCAACAACCTATTCTTACACCGATCATGACAAGAGTTGTATTAAGTAGCCCTGTGTAGCCTCCCTGCAGCCAGCACATACAGCTAAAACAAGTATCACAGAAACGTGATTAGTGGTCTGTTGTGCTTTTCAAGTATTAAGTAAAACCTTGATTTTGCCAAATAATCTTCCCAACCGATTTTGGTCACATGGATAATCTAGTGAGGCCAGGATGGAACACCAGTGACTTGAGAATGACCGAACGAGTCGAAAAGCATTTGAGAAGGAATTCTAGTTTTTACAGCACAATATGTCAAGAAAAAAACCAAACCCATACACCAACACCCGCCCCCAACAACAGCTTCTTGTTTCCCAAAGTACGAACAAGCACGCCTGACCCCTGAGCAAGCACTGGGTACAGAACAGACGACTGTGGCTTCCAAATAGATGTGCCCGAAGGGCACTCTGTCACAGCACTTGCCAGTTCAGGCTCTGACTGTCGAAGAAGGTAAAGCCGCAGGGCTGGGCGAGGTCAAGAGCAGGGCTTTGCCACAGCGGTGCAGACTGAGGATTACTCAATATATTCAGCCAGATTTGAGGAACTGAAAATAAGATCGGTCAGAGCCACCAACTGCAGAGTGAACACCCTGGCTGTTCAAGAGGCTACGGCAGGAAAACCTTGGGAACTTAATGGAACTAAACCCTAACGCTTCTACATCCAAGAAAACCCACTTTTGAGAATTCTCATCTTGCTGCCGCACAGTAAACAAGGTACTATGCAAATGATGACAACCTTACCCAAAAAAAGCAGGGGATACACATTCACAACACTTACGCTTTATTCCAGTGTCAAGCTCAAATGCCCGGATAGTTTCCAACAATCCTTCAATTAGTTGCTTAAATCTGGAATTTTCTTTCAGGCTTCTGAAATAACAACCACATGAGCTGTTTTCAGGTAAATATGTGAGTAAACTATTACTAGTTCTCCTAGAATTTAGGCTGAACACAAAAAAGGAGTAAAACTGCAAAGTGGAATCTGAGACGAGAAACTGCAGCCGGGGAATGACACCACACTTCCCCAAACCAACCATCACTACAGGAATTAAGATTACCACAAAGTGAAGATTTCCTGGTTTTCCTGACACAGGCTTAGCACAGAGAAGCTCGTTGTAACGGGCAATACTACAGCCTGCAGAAGCGTGCGTGCTGCCAAGCTAGCACGGTGTGATCACCTGGGAGGACGGTTACACTGAGAAGGGCCTAGAGAGCTGCGCCTGCAGAGACAGACTGCTTGCTCTTTGTGCTTTCAGTCTACTCGGACACGAAGCCAACGATTAACTTTCCCCATCCTCAAGCCCATGCGCAAAGGTGCATTACCTCTTGGTAACTTCAGCCTTACACAGCGGGCACTGGATCGCACCTTTTTTCTTTTTGCTGAGGAGTTTGAACATGCAGAACCTGGGAAAAAGAATCGACACGCTGGTAAGAAAAGGGAGGAGTTGATTTGCTTTAAAACTGAGCCTGGGCACACACCCCCAGACAGAAATCCTTCGTTAGCAAGCCAAATGTCCCGACGTTACAATGAATCAGTTGATCCCGTCTGATGCACTTGTGAAACGGCAGCGATCCCATACTCAGGATTCCCTTTTGCCCTAAAATGGCTACAGAGGCCGTTATCAAAGCCCAGCACCGAGGTGAAGCATCCACTGAAAGGGCAAGCGGAGTGGCCAAGCACTGCGATCACCAGTTCTCAAACCCACCTGCAGAATATGTGATCACATTTTGTTGCAACCGGCTCTTCTATCACATCCAGGCTACAAAAATGAAGGAAAACAAAACCACAGAAGTTACACAGAAAATAGGAGCAACAAAATAAGACACAGAAATAATCACTTTTCTGAACTTAAAAAAAAAGTCCTTGTGCGGAAGAGACGAGGGACACATTTAGCAGTTTTTCATTTGAGAACCAGGCCCAGAAACAAACACTGTCATTATGGGATGTATACAGATCTACCAGCTCTTCACAATCTTTGTCTGTCCCTTGCAAAAAGCATTTTTTGGAAACGCCATCTCAGCAGGGCAGGAAACGCTGGGTTGGAATACTCGGGTCTTTTCCAGTGCTGCCCTCCTGTGACCAAAGCGAAGCACAGTGTCGTTCTGCTGGGTCCAAGGACCCACTGGACTCTTACTCTGTTTGTATAAACCAAATGCACAGATGTGTCAACACAAATATTTCAGTTATTCTTCCCCCCCGCCAAAGTTCTCCATTCTGAACCCATTCCTGTCTAGCACAGTGTGAAAATGAACATTTAACTTTGTACTAGGGCTTTCAGAGGAGCTCTACCCAACTCACCTGTCCAACTCAACACAACCTACCTCAACCACACAATAAAAACAGATAAAAAGGCATTTTTGAAAATACTGCCCTAGTTTAGGTTACAGTGACTTACAACCCTAGATAGACAAGAAAGGTTTCCTATGCCACATAAGCACGTAGGAAGCCTCTTCTGCAGTTGCATTTGTTAGTATGCAGCTGCATACTACTGTCTACAACCCAGCAGTATGTAAGGAAGTTTAGAGAACGATTCCAATCAAACAGCCACAACAACTTGGATGAAAACAGGGGAAACACCCCCATTATTATTGTAGCATAGTCTAACTTGGGTTTTATTTTGCTCTAGGCACAAGAGCCAAAAGCAGCCTCAACACTACTGGGGCACGCATTACTCAGTCCCCAGTTTCATTCATTTGCATTTTGGGATGCTATCCTAACTGGATAAAGGACTGACATTTAGGCTGTAGAAAAGCAAACTTTACTAGAACATACGAGCAAAATACAAGTTCCAGCTTGCACTTTCTCGCTTGAGCCTTACAAAACATCAGTCTATTCAGCCTTAAAATACAATTGTTTTTCCTTTCTGAAAACTCATAGAACTGACAAAGCATTTAAAAAGAAAGGGAAAGAAACAGAAAACCAAAAGACTCAAACTGCACCAACACAGAATTCACGTTATTCTCCTGGCATACCATATTGGGCACTCCAAATTCTTCTGCATAGCAAAAAGCACATTTTGTACATCTCCAATCGCAGTCACTGAGAAGTCCATACCTCCTATCCCAAAATACTCTGCAGGGGAAAAGGAAAAAGCAATCAGCTTTGTTTCTTATCTGCTGCATCCCACAACCATGTTTTCCCCTGGATGGTTGCTGTAGCACGCTGAGCAGTGTCAAACGCTTGGCTGCTATTTCCCAAGCAGCTGTACAGCAGTGGTGTCACCGGTGAATGCCTACAGTCAAAACCTGCCCAGTCTCTTGTAGCCCAAGGAGGAAACAGAGGGTTCACTCAAGTTGCGCTCAGCAAGAGCTCGCGCAAGCATAACCCCAAAACAGAGCTTTCTAGATGGAAAAGGACTTAGAGGGGAGAGCAACCACGCGCACACGAAGGGTCCTGGGAACTGCCTAAGCCGACCAGAGCAACTACGACCCGGCCGCAGGTACCACCGACCCTGAAAACACTTGACCTTTACGCGGCAGCAACTCGGGCGCCAGGACGGGCCTCGGAGCGGGAAGCCCGAAGAGAGGTGACCCAGCACACAGCTCTTTTTCCCCCCCCCCCACCTGCCACAGGGAAAGCCGGTCACCGCTAGCACGACCTACCGGAACGCTACCGAGTCGCAGACAGGAGCAAGTCACGGCCGCTCACTCGCCCTCAGGAGCCGCCCGGTAGCACTGCATTTCGCGCGCTTTCCGCCACC